CTTTACCATACTTCTTACTCTTTTTTAAAAAATATATTTTATTGATTTTTTATAGAGAGCAAGGGAGAGGGATAGAGAGAAACATCGATGAGAGAGAAACGTCGATCAGCTGCCTCCTGCACACCCCCCACTGGGGATGTGCCAGCAACCAAGGTACATGCCCTTGTCCAGAATCGAACCTGGGATCCTTCAGTCCGCAGGCCGACACTCTATCCAATGAGCCAAACCAGTTAGGGCAATACTTCTTACTCTTGATTGCCAGTATTTGCACCAGCTTCCATGGCAAACAGAAGCATTCTGTCTTCATTGAACTCAGGATATTTAGCAGTTCTCTCATGAAGAGAAACTGGAAGCTTGCTCACGTGTGAACTGATACTATGATAGGGGGTTAGACATGCATATGTCCAGAAAAAATGTACATTTCTTCCGTGTGTAGGCAGATCCAAGGTGCCCTATAAGCCCTCAGAGAAGGGTGGGTTTAAGATTGTAGTTTCTGGAGAGAGAGCTCTCTGCTAACCAGCTTCCCCCTTTTTTTTAGGGGAAAAATTCCTTATTGTTAAATAGTTTACAGTAAAATAAATAGAGTGATGGTTTGTTGGGGAATAAAAACTCCAATGGAATCGTAGTCTCTCCATCCTGCCTCTAACTCTTGGCTCTGCCTTCGTACTGGTCCCTTTGGACGACGAGGCCTTGGTGGGTATGCCAGGTCTTCTTGGGCCCTTGGGACCTCTGTCTTTCTGGCCAATGGTACAGGTACTGTTTTGGACCCACTGTCTTTAGGAGCAGCATCAGCCTTGGCTTTCAGCTCTTCCCTGCCCCCTTGGGTAGTGGCCTCTTTAAGGACCTTGTTCCCTGTCTTTTTGGCTAGGGAAGCCACACCATTCTCACCCTTGGTGGCCGTGGGTTTTGAACTCTGAGAACCAGCTCAGTAGGCCTTGGCATCTGCTGAGCTGTTCTTTAACCTTTGACTTCCCATGGGGCCCACTGGCACCGGGAGGGACTTTGCGGCCTTGCCTGGCTCTTGGGGGGCGGGGGAGGCTTCCTGGCCTTGCCCACTGTTGCCTCTTCATCCTTGGTCTGGCCACATTTCTTAGGGACCTCCGCCTTGGCCTCACCAGATCTCACCATTGAAGAAAATTCAGAAAATAGACTTATGAGCCACCTTGTGACCAAAGAAAGCAGTGCAGTTTGAACTTTCTGGTCAGAGGCAGAGCAGGGATTCTTACACAGACACTGGACTCTTCCAGCAAGGCCATATAGCATAGGCAATGCTCTTTGGTTTGAAGTGAAATAGAGCCTTCATGATTGGCCATCATTTAAAACATTAAGCCAGATTTATTCTTCAAATGAAAATGAAGTAACGGATTAGATTTACCTCCTAATTTAAACAGCTAAAACCTGGACAAATTTTATGAAAAACAGTTTTCAGTTATTGAACATTAGATAGTGGAAGACGAAGTTTCCTTAGGGGAAACAATAATGTGAGCCTTGTGGTTTCCCCCAGATTACTGTGTATTGTGGGATCTATAATACATGTGGAAGTAAAATGCATGTCAGTAATAGCACAAAGGCCAGGAGGGGGGGAATAAAAGCACACAATTTTAAAGTTCTTATCCTATACATTGATATCACTTGAAGGTAGATTCTGAAATGTTAAAAATGTATTAAAAACCTCAAAACAACCATGAAAAATGTTGTAGCTAATAAAACCAACATAAGAGATAAAATGGAATCCTCAGTGTTCTCAGTAAAAAAATGTTAGAAGAACAAGAGAACAAAGAACAGATGGGACAAATGGAAACAAATAAGGTGGTTGAGTTAAACACAAACATATTAATATCGATAATCACATTAATGTAAATGGTCTAAACACCTTGGTTATAAAACAGAGATGATCAGATTGTATATAAAAGGAAGACACAAATACATGCTGCCTGTATGAACCCTATTTTAAATTTAAAGATTCAAATAATTACAAGTACAAGAATGGAAAAAGATGTACAATCTTAACACCAAAATCAAAACAAAGCTTGAGTGATTATCAGAGCAAAGAATAATATCAGGGGTAATATGGTCATAGAAAGTCATTGCATTATTTTAAGCGGTGAGTTTGTCAAGAGGACATACTAGTAACAATCTTAAACATTCACATATTACAGTGCTTCAAAATAGATGGAGCAAAAACTGATAGAACTGTAAGGAGAAACAGACAAGTCGACAATTACCGTCAGAGATTTCAACACCCTTTCTAAAAAAAATAGAACAAGTAGACAGAAAATCAGCAGGTATATGTAAGACTTGAACAACACTATGAACCAACTTACCTAGTTGACAATTGTAGAACTTACCACCAACGACAGTAGAATGAATATGTTTTTCACATGCATATGGAACATTTACCAAGATAGTCTATAATCAGGGTCATAAAACGAGTCTCAATAATGTTTACAGGATTCAAATAATAAAATATATGTTCTCTGAGCACACTGGAATTAAATGAGATGCTAATAACAGAAAGATCTCTGGAATATACCCAGTATTTAAATTTAACTTCAAATAACACATGAATAAATAACTCAAGTCAAAAGGGAAATTATAAGTACTTTAAACTGAGTGAAAATGAAAACACAATATATGATAATTTGTGGGATGTGGCAAAAGAAGTGCTCAAGGGAAAATTTATAGCACTAAACATATATATGAAAATAGAAGAAAGCCGATAGCTTAAATAAATGGAAATTTTATTTAAAATTCTTTCTCCAAAGAAAACTGTAGGTCAGGGTGGTTTTACTGATAATTTTACCAAACCTTTAAGGATAACATAACAGCAATTCTATGAAAAACCTTTCAGAAAATGTAAGGGAAGGGAATACTTCCTAAATCATTCTACAAGGTTAGAATTACCCAGATAACTAAGCAGACAATTATGTTACAAAAAATAACTACAAACCAATATCCTTCATGAACATACACGCAGAAATTTTAAACAAAACTTTAGTATAAAAAATACAATACATCATGATCAAGTAAGGTTTATCCCAAAGATTCAAGGTAGAGTTAATATTTGAAAATCACTGGGAACTCACCACATTAACATAAAATAGAAAAACCATATGATCATCTCAATAGAAAATGAAAGAAAATTTGCTAAAATTTAAAAAAACACTTTACCAATTAAAAAAATTTGTCAATAATTTCGTCTAGAAAAATGCCAAAGAAAAACTGACTCCTTCCCAATCCTTTTGTGATTGTTTGAGGTTTATAATTTGGGGAGGGAATGGGGCAAGAGGGAATTGATCTTCCACTTCATTTCACTCGACCACTGCATCATCTGGGCAGAAATAGATTAGTTTCCTTCTAGTCCTACCAACAGTATCTGGGCTGAGAAACAGAGAGTCGCCCAGATAGTATTGGCAGGACTGAAAAAGAACTACTCTATCTTGGCCCAGATGATGCAGGAGTCTGCATCTGACTCTCTTCAGAGTAGTGTCACAATGGTCCAGGGGCAAGTTGTGCCTCTACTCCTATCGAACAACGAGATTTAACAAAGCTA